TGAGATATATAGCCGTATGTAGTCACTGGGTCATAAAATTAATTGCTCATGAAAAGATTTCACACACTCCGAAATAATTCGCGGTAACGTTCATTGTATCTTTTGGTACCACATGTGCCACTATCCTCCGATATACTATACACTTGGACGCATTATAGTTGTTTTCTTAAAATTTCCAGTATTTAAGATGAGACGATTATTTTCATAATATCTCGCGTTATAAATTATCACGACAGAGATTCTTTTGGTTATAGTCACTCCTCTTAGTTTATATAAATAATTTTATTTTCGCTTTTCGCCATTTTACGCTCGCAGCGACATCATCGCGTATAATTCGAAGCTTGTGTTCGCTGAATCACCATAGCCATTCGAACCAAGTTATTTCTGCTTTTAATAATTAATAATCAAAAATATAAATAAATTAATAACAATGTTATATGTATATACAGGGTGGACCATTTAACATAACTACTTGGATCATTTCAATGTTAGTAAGTTGTTTCTTTTTCTCTTTTGTAACACAGTAGCCTAACTTAGGAAATTAAATTAAAAATAGGAATTAAAAATTAGAATTAGAAATAGGAATTAGAAATAGGAAGGAAATGTTAAAACAAAAATTGTTTACTATAAAGAAAATCCTAATGTGGTATAACCCTCTTAAAACTATATATCGAATATACAGGGTGTTTTTTTTATCCGAACTTTTACGACAAAAATTGTTCATTATAAAGAAAAGTATAATGTGGTATAAACTTCTTAAAACTATATTTGGGCTCTATAGGGTGTCCCTTTTATCCGAACTCGGTAGAATATTTTGGAAACGACAAAAAATAGGAAAAAAATATTACAACAAAAATTGTTCATTATAAAAAACAGTATAATGTGATATAAACTTCTTAGAATTATATTTGGAATATACAGGGTGTCTCTTTTATCCGGATACGGTGAAATATCTCGGAAACGACGAACAATAGGGAAAAAATGTTTCAACAAAAATTGTTCACTGTAAAGAAAAACATAATGTGCTACAAATTTTTTAAAACTATATTTCGACTATATAGGGTGTCCCTTTTATCCGGACTTAGTAGAATATCTCGGAAACGACGATCAATAGGGAAAAAATGTTTAAACAAAAATTGTTCACTGTAAAGAAAAACATAATATGCTACAAACTTCTTAAAACTATACTTCGACTATATAAGGTGTCTCTTTTATCCGGACTCAGTGGAATATCTCGGAAACGAGGAAAAATAGAAAAAAAATATTCGAACAAAAATTGTTCACTATTAAGAAAAGCATAATGTACTATAAATTTCTGCTTTGTGCTTGAAGTGGTGGATGAGATTTCAAACTCGAGATATCTGTTAATACGAATCTAGCGCACAGCTAATAGCGTCATATCGTTCGACAAGGTGTTCCAAGGGAAATAGTCTGTATAGCAAGCGAATATCGCACGATGTTCCAACAATGCTGCATTTCTCCTTACGTAATGAGAAAACGTACGTTAATACGAATCCAGGACACAGCTAATAGCGTCATATTGTTCGACAAGGTGTTCCAAGGGAAATAGTCTGTATAGCAAGCGAATATCGCACGATGTTCCAACAACGATTTTCCAATATAAAGATTATTTGTGATGGCAGATAAAAAGAAAATTCGCGTCGATTATTTTTTTTACTCCATCACTGTGCTAAGTTTTATCTAAATCGGCGATCGACACTCGGCTATGATTCCTTGTTGGTTCTAGGCCGAGCATACGTCCCCAGTGATGAATAATTTAATACTATTGTTTAATTCGCTGGAAACACATTGATGCATGTCCTTGGGTTCGTTTTCGCTAATTCAATCACGCAAAACGACTTCTTAACAGCTCTAGCGGCCATTTTGCTTAATTGATCGGATAGCGCAACAGCTGCTATTGACGTCACTATAAACTGCAGTAGATAGATCTTTAGCCTGGCTACAGGTCGTTGCGCATACCGGGTGTCCGACTGTTTTACAGTTTCTATTTAAGATTCGATTTTCCTTATGGCTTGCTTGTATTTACAGTAGAATATCGATTATGCGAATTAATTGGGAGACGAATCTGTTTAGATAATCGGTCCCAAAAGAAGAAATTCGAAATTGCAATGGTGGACAAAAGAAAATTTATATGAGAGAGTGAATTTAAATTTAAATGAGGGCGTAGTATAGTTTTAGGAGAAGAAATTATATTTTGTAATTGCTATGAATTTTATATAAATATACTTACTTTTATCAGTGTACTGTAATTAGTATTAAAGTTGATGATGACAGAAGGAAATTTAAATGGTGAATTTAAATGAAGGAAAAGCATAATTTTGGAAAAAGAAATTATATTTTATAACAGATATGAATTTTATGTAAATGTAGTTACTTTTATTAGTGTACTGTAATTAGTATTAAAGTTGATGATGGCAGAAGAAAATTTAAATGAAAATGGTGAATTTAAATGAAAGAATAGTATAGTTTTGGAAGAAGAAATTATATTTTGTAATAGCTGTGAATTTTATATAAATGTAGTTACTTCTATTAGTACAAATTTACATAATACTTGTTACTTACATACTTCTATATGTACAAATGTACATAATAAAAATTATACGTATACAACTACAAAAATATACGAATATACTTAATAAAAAATATACATATACAGATATGCAAATATATAAATATACGTAAACAATAGGGAAAAAATGTTTCAACAAAAATTGTTCACTGTAAAGAAAAACATAATGTGCTACAAATTTTTTAAAACTATATTTCGACTATATAGGGTGTCCCTTTTATCCGGACTTAGTAGAATATCTCGGAAACGACGATCAATAGGGAAAAAATGTTTAAACAAAAATTGTTCACTGTAAAGAAAAACATAATATGCTACAAACTTCTTAAAACTATACTTCGACTATATAAGGTGTCTCTTTTATCCGGACTCAGTGGAATATCTCGGAAACGAGGAAAAATAGAAAAAAAATATTCGAACAAAAATTGTTCACTATTAAGAAAAGCATAATGTACTATAAATTTCTGCTTTGTGCTTGAAGTGGTGGATGAGATTTCAAACTCGAGATATCTGTTAATACGAATCTAGCGCACAGCTAATAGCGTCATATCGTTCGACAAGGTGTTCCAAGGGAAATAGTCTGTATAGCAAGCGAATATCGCACGATGTTCCAACAACGATTTTCCAATATAAATATTATTTGTGATGGCAGATAAAAAGAAAATTCGCGTCGATTATTTTTCTTTACTCCATCACTGTGCTAAGTTTTATCTAAATCGGCGATCGACACTCGGCTATGATTCCTTGTTGGTTCTAGGCCGAGCATACGTCCCCAGTGATGAATAATTTAATACTATTGTTTAATTCGCTGGAAACACATTGATGCATGTCCTTGGGTTCGTTTTCGCTAATTCAATCACGCAAAACGACTTCTTAACAGCTCTAGCGGCCATTTTGCTTAATTGATCGGATAGCGCAACAGCTGCTATTGACGTCACTATAAACTGCAGTAGATAGATCTTTAGCCTGGCTACAGGTCGTTGCGCATACCGGGTGTCCGACTGTTTTACAGTTTCTATTTAAGATTCGATTTTCCTTATGGCTTGCTTGTATTTACAGTAGAATATCGATTATGCGAATTAATTGGGAGACGAATCTGTTTAGATAATCGGTCCCAAAAGAAGAAATTCGAAATTGCAATGGTGGACAAAAGAAAATTTATATGAGAGAGTGAATTTAAATTTAAATGAGGGCGTAGTATAGTTTTAGGAGAAGAAATTATATTTTGTAATTGCTATGAATTTTATATAAATATACTTACTTTTATCAGTGTACTGTAATTAGTATTAAAGTTGATGATGACAGAAGGAAATTTAAATGGTGAATTTAAATGAAGGAAAAGCATAATTTTGGAAAAAGAAATTATATTTTATAACAGATATGAATTTTATGTAAATGTAGTTACTTTTATTAGTGTACTGTAATTAGTATTAAAGTTGATGATGGCAGAAGAAAATTTAAATGAAAATGGTGAATTTAAATGAAAGAATAGTATAGTTTTGGAAGAAGAAATTATATTTTGTAATAGCTGTGAATTTTATATAAATGTAGTTACTTCTATTAGTACAAATTTACATAATACTTGTTACTTACATACTTCTATATGTACAAATGTACATAATAAAAATTATACGTATACAACTACAAAAATATACGAATATACTTAATAAAAAATATACATATACAGATATGCAAATATATAAATATACGT